TGCTGATTTGCATGCTGTACTTTTACCTGCAAATTTTCATTCATCAAAACAAAATACAAAGCAAAAATGTCAAAAAAAAAATCTTAAAATAGGATTTACTCAAGAAGCAAAATTGCATAAGACATCAGACAAGGCCCGTTTTTAGAGAATATATCTTAAATTAAGTTCACCTTTCTTCTGCTTCTTTTATATTGCATGGAGAAAAAAAGATTTTGAGAGTGAGTGATAACAGAATACTTTTTTTCTTTTCTTTACGCAGTAGGGATGATTGCGTATTTCTTTACACTACTCTACTGCACAGATCAAGAATGAAGGTCAGTCACACTTTTGAGATGGCTTTAAAGAATTTCTATAGAGTTATGCAAGTCTTTCCTTCTTGGCGCCACATTTTTCCGCATGTTTTTTAGTTCTTTCCGCCTGCAATGAAACTCTTATTTTGATTCCGTCTTTTCACAACTATCTGCTGCAATTCACTGAGTGCGTCACAGGACAACAACAGAAAAGCAGAAACACTACATGGATCAAGGCTCTGGAAATATTTGTAAAAAAAAATTCAGTGTATCCAAGGACATTTTTGACAGTGGAAACAAGCAAACTTGAAACTATCCATCGATTATGAAATCCAGTTTCCACTACAGAATAAAAAATAAGGTGATTGCAACTTTTTCAATTCAGACAAAAAAAAAGAGTCAGAAATGCGAGATATAAACTCAATGTTAAGCTTTTTTCCAAGCTTAACATTGGAATTTACTACTTTTTTTAGAGGACATTTGACTGATCAGGGCAAAATTCTGATCAGGGCAAAAACAGAATGCGTTTATGTACGTGCACACTAGCATGACAGTGTTCAAATGGAAAACAGGCAATGGTACTTATCTTTCCATGTTTGTGGATAACAAGGTCCTTAACCCCCAGTGAGCTCTGTATGTGTGTGTGTGTTTGTCCATGTAGGGTCTGTGACCTACCAGAGCACACTGACTCTCTAATAAGCTGGCCAAGGCTGTGAAATTAGTGTTTGTGATGCAGAAGGTCCAGCTGAGGCAACCTCAGATACGCCAGCGTGATCTCAAAGCTCAATACATTTTTCATAGCAAGCCCCATCTGCAAGGGAGGAGATGCTCATCACACAAGGAAAAAAAGCCATGAAGGGCCCAATGGCGCTGCTGACTGAGGGATACATGATGGAAGGACACATTTACTGCCTGTGCTCACTGCTTTCTGTTTCCCTAGTCCTTTAGTACTGTAGGGGGTGTCAAACATAAGAATATTGCCTACCATCAGGAAGGCAGAGATCCAGATCTTGCTGCATTACCAGTCTGCCTGAAAGCAAGACACTTAATAGCAAATCACCCTACTGCTGCTTCTCTAATTATTGACCTACTTTCTTTTTTGGATGGAAATCATTGCCACATATGAGTAATTCAGCTGTTCAACCATAGCTCTAAGGTACAATATGCAAGAGTGCAGTGTGTTATCTATGAGATCAGCCTTTTGCAAGGCAAATCTCTGCCCAATTCCTATCTAAATAAATACAAAAAATATGGGTCATCAGTATTATAGGAAAATAATACTTTCATAGACCTTAAAGGGTTAGTTCACCCAAAAATTAAAATTAGGCTGCGTTTTACTCACCCCCAAGGCATCCTAGGTGTATATGACTTTCTTCTTTCAGACGAATCCAGTCAGAGTTATATTAAAAAATTGTCTTTGATCTTTCAAGCTGTTTAATGGCACTCAGCGGGTGTTGCATTGCTTCAGTCCAAAAGAA